TGAGTTCAGTATTCTGTTGGTACTATGATCTGTTTCACTTCCCCAGTATAACTGCTTTGATAGATTCCATATAGAACTTCATTCCATTCCTCTATTCTATATGTATTGTTCCCTTTTGTTTTGTGCTCGACTTTCTCCCTGACATTTTCTGCACTGACGTTTCTTCTATCTATTGTCACTTTTGGTAAGCTTCTGGTCAGCCATTACTGGTGTCACATTTGACTTAACATTCTTGGACTTGCCAATTATACTCCTTCCATTGGTTTCCATATATTGTTCTGCCAGCTTGATGATCTCATCTATGTATTTTGGTGCTCTCTCCTTTAACAACAGTGATATGTCATTTGAGCATGTGGTCATGAACTATTCTCGCACTAATAGGTCTGCCAAGCCTTCAAAACTATTTCACACCTGGCCATGTCAGTTCATCTGGTGAAATAATGCTGTAGACGTGCCACAAACTGAAATACAGTTTCTCCAATGTTGGGATTGACTTCTCTGAGCTTCTGATGAAAACCTTCTTTAGTAAGTTCATATTATTTCAGTAAAGCCACTTTTAATTTATCATAATCTGCCCAGTTGCCTTTGTTCCAGTTCTGACTTTGAGTGATTCTTTCATCTTTCCCCAGGAAAGCATCCTTGTCATTTTGATGTTCATCAAGTTTGGGTAGGTTGGGTTGACTGGTCCTGACTCCCTTGTCATTCTTGGGTTCTTCTTCATTCAGCTCTTATTTGCTCTATTTCTAGTCTTTCATCTTTCCCCAGGAAAGCATCCTTGTCATTTTGATGTTCATCAAGTTTGGGTAGGTTGGGTTGACTGGTCCTGACTCCCTTGTCATTCTTGGGTTCTTCTTCATTCAGCTCTTATTTGCTCTATTTCTAGTCTTTTCTCTTTCTCTTCTTTTTAAATTTGTATTCTTATTCTCTCTCTATTTCCCATCTTTCCTTTCCCTTATTTTCTTCTCTTTCTCAATTTGTTTTTTCTGTTGCCATTCTTCTCTCTCTAGCTCATGTTGTTGGTTGACAAATTTTTGTAGTTCATTGTCTTTTAACCCAGTGACTACCGGCTACTAACTTTCTTAGTAGGCAATGCAAGTCTTGCTATATTTCATTCCAACAATAAAACTAGTGGACGAATATTTTCGAAAATTCATAAATACTTTGACAAATGTAGGTAGTTTAAGAAACATAAAGCCTATTACTTTTAATAAATTTAGTTTTTTGCATTATGATCTTTAATATCTTTGAAAATTACATTAGGAAATCGTATTTATGAGAAATGATTACAATATTTATATTTGCTACAGATTTGAACTTATTACTTTTAATGTTTTAGTACATTATTTTGAAATCCCCAAAAATTGTATCCTCCATAAAATGCAAATTTTATCTATTTTTAATCTTTTTAATAATCACGTATACTTCTTATGGTTTCAAGTAATATACAGACTCATAAATAATATTTGTAAATAAACCTAAACAATAAATGAGTATTTTTATTTTTAACTATGATTTCATGTTTATATGTGTACATAAAAACATTTTAATTTTGTTTCATACATATATATTTTTATTTCAAATTTATGTTTATGTTTCATTGCAGTCGTACTTTTGTGTTTAATGTGTCGAATAAACTGTGGGGTCGGCAGCGTGAACTTTATACGTTGTCCGTAAACTATCTCACCCTTTTTGATGGTCACTCTCGTTCAA